CACATTATTTGTTTTCTGTATAGATTCAATAAACAGTACGTACTTGTTTGACTACGGGAAAAAAAAAAAAAAAAAAAAAAAAAAAAAAAGATATTATTACTATAAGTTAATTTTTTTATTAGATTTTATATATTGAATCAATCTTTAAAAACTAAAATAAAATTATATTATTTTTGCTAAAGTATTTTATTATTTTTACCAAAGTATTTTATTATTATTATTATTATTTTCAGGTTTTAATTTAAGTATTTTTAATATTATATATTGCAAAATCTTTTTTGATATCAAATATTATTTATAATAATAGATTTTTCAATATAATAATCACATTTTTTTCCAATAATGAAAAAATTTTCACATATAAGAAATTGTTAATTTCAAAAAACAAATTTCAAAAAAAAAATTTTCAAAAATAGGGTTGAAAATTTGATAAACAACAATTTAATAAAATATTTCTATACTATAGAAGATTAACAAAAATAATGAAGATAACCTAGTGCTGCGGTTTACCATATTCGGTCCAAAGGCATTTTATGAATTGAATGATGACAGTAACTTTTATTTGATTTTACTGTAGGGTCAAGGGGGTTACACCATTAAAAAAAGAATTCCAAGTTAATATTACTTGAAAGTACCAAATCTGGAAAAAAATATTTTTTTAACTTATTCGAAAATCCGATTCAAAAGTTTAAATTAAACTCGTACAGTATTAATTGCATGAAAGCCAATCATTTTATGTACACGTGGAGTGATCAAACTTGGGTATCACAACACTTTACATAATGTTGTGTGTGCATTATTTTGTTAAATGTTACCAGTACAAGCAAACACAGTAGCACAGCTTTTGTCCCCACCAACCTTTCAGTAAGATACATTTGTGGTTCGAATTGAAAATGGATCCAGACGAAAATTCGTCTTCATCAAGATCTAGAGAAAGTTCCTTTGCAAATTTAAGGCGAACAGTTTCGCTTACAAGGTCGCGGAGGAATACTCAAAGTGGTGGTGACAGTCATTCTCAAAGCACTACAAAGTCAACTTCTACCAACTATTTCAACCAAATTTTACATAGACGAGCTTCAGTATCTTCACAGAGGCCAAATCTAAACGAAATAGTGATAACTAAAACTGATTTAGATCCCATACTTCATGATTCAGATCCTAAACCTGTAGTAATGAATTCCGATTCATCCTTGCAGCAATCGACGTTAACTCAACAACCAACTATGCAGCGAACTGGTAACTTGTTGAGAAAAAAAAGTTTACGCACTTCTGGTGGCCTCTACTCGCCAGTCTCACCTTCACAACCATCGTTTCCTCCAACTGCGGAAGAAGATTTGCCGGAAAGTTACGATAATAATCGTCACGAATCTAATAATAATAATAATAATAATAGTAATAATAATAATAATAATAGCAATAGTAATAACAATAGTAATAGTAGCATAAGTAATATATCTAATAGACGCTTTGGGTTGTATCACGGGAATTCACCGTCTCAACATTCGCCTAGTTCATCAATATCTTCTCGAAAAACACTATTCACCTTTGAAATAAATCGAGATAACAAAAACAATAAGGATGAAAAATTGTTAAAAAAAGCTCGAGTGTTCTTGGATCCGAAACAAAGGTCAAAGGCCAGGATAGCGTCATTATGGAGTTTTATTGGTAGGTGGATTATTTAGAAATCGGAGGTTGGTGCGGAATTGTGATTCGGGACTGTCCTTTAACTTATTGTGTTCTATTCTTTTTTTACATGATTTCCGAATTTGCGTTAATTTTGCTGATGTACAGATAACACCAACGAGTTGGACCAAGCTCAATTCTTCCAACAGCATGACGAAGAAGTATTTGATGCAATCTATAAATCGTTTATAGGGCAGGTCGAAAAAATCAAACGTGAGAATCAAGTTTAAATTGATCTCTTTAAATATTGTCGGGAAAAGGAAATAATGTATGTTATCTGTTACAGAGAGAACTGACCGGTCCGTATCATTATCATCGAAAGAATATTCAAATATCAATAACACACTCCTGTTGTTACGAAAAATATTTTTATACTTGCCCGATCGGATAAGAAGTGGCTGGCAACGTAGACAAACAGGTATAATTCAAATCATGGAGTCATTGGTTGTCACATGTCATAATCATGCTTTGAATTATTTGAAATCTCCAAATTTAACAGTTTAATATATTGTTAATTAAATTTCGAAGCCGAAATGTTATCCCATCTTCTCGATCACGGGAACCATCCGCGCGTTCGGATACAAGGATTTCAGCTTTTGTTATTATGGTTAAATGATCAGACAATCGAGTTACCTGAGTGCATAGATTTGTATTCGAATGCAATTTCATTGGATTTATTCTTGTACGACCAAATAAAGAACGGGGGCAATGACTATAATACTAAGGAAGGAACGTGGAAGAAAAATAATATTTCTCTGAGGTTGGGTCAAGTTTTAATAAAACGTAGGTGTTTCATGATGTTTTAATATTACTCGATTGGGGTTCAATTCATTTATTTAATTGTTCATTTTGATAGCTGATGATCGTGGCCCTTTGTTTCCCAACCCGCATCCACCTACTTTCAATGATGCTGTAAAACTAATACAATTGGATTTGAGTGGTTTGGTGAGGCTCGCCCATGTGGCAGCCGGTTCTATACCTCCACCAGAGAATTATGATTTTCCGCAAATTGAGAATATTGAACATGATAACGGAATAGCAATCGGAATGGGAATCGATGCTGCGTTAGCTGCAGCGAAATTCCACTTTGATCTTACAAAAAAACAGTATTTAGCGAAACTTTTCCCACAATGCGCAAAAGATCTTGGTTTGATACCTGACGATCAAGGTTTGCAAATAGTTTATGATCGCTGATTATGTTGATGACAATGATATTTGTTATTTATATTTATATTTGTTATTTTAGAATTTGGTTTTCAAAAATGCCCTCCGACCATTCTGCGGGCGTTGATCACATTCTTCATACACCATTGCCTTGACAATCATTATAGTTCATCTGATACCGTGTCATACCCATCACCTGCAACTCCGATATTAAAGTCCATAGTGTTAGGCCCAGAGAATCGAGAGTTTGCGCATGAGATAGTCAGGCAGGCTCTTATGTTACCAGCCGGTAGTCCATTGTACAAAGATATTGTCAGAGGGGCCGTACATATCGTTGGCGTGTGGATTCTAAGCGGAGTTAGTATTAGCGCATCTGGCCATTATCTACTTTTGTATATACGTTTAAAAAAAGGTTATTTAATAATGCTCATATACATTACAGGAAGAGGAAAGGCCGGCTTTCCTTCGTAAATCCCCTTTACAAGCACCGCCGTCAACATCGACCACAGGATCATTTGTCAGTCAATTACCATCACCGGATAGTGAATTATCAATTACTCCATCCAACACACCATCAAAGTCTACCTTTTCTTCTGCCAACATATACCTTCGAAGGTATTTAATCTATTCTGTTGAAATAGCCCCTTTTAAGTGTTTTGTGCATTAATTGACAATACCTTAATGTTGATAAATTAGATACATTCAGTTATTGAGCCTTGTCTTTGAGGATCACTCCGCAATAACATTCGATGGAATGACTAACATTGAGGTGGAATCGCAAGTGGCGATATATCGAGACGTTTTGTCCTTGTACCGGTCAATGATATCTGAAGGTCCTATCGAATTGGAGGCCGAAACATGGTATTTGGATCTCTTTTATTGACGATTATTCTTCAAACTTGCTTGCGATCAAAATTTTGGTTTTATCATCTAGGGAAACTTTATTATTGTCTCTTTTGGATATTCAACAGAAGATAATGAACCATAGAGAAAAATATGCACCTATTTCATCCATATCATTGGCAGAAGGTTTAGCAGATTATCTTGTTGAAGTATGTAATTTCCCAATTAATCGCTTCCAATTGTTACATAATTTATTAAAAGTTTTTTCTATACCATTTGTATTTTCTGCAGACAATACTAAATACATTTGCGAGATCAAAAGTTCAACAGCCTAAGTTATGGCATGAGCTGAGGGATCAAATGAGTCACAGTTCAAGGTGGTATCAGACGATATCACAATGGGCGGTATGTTATAAAAGGAACATCCGGGGTTGCGATGATGGTGATATCTCAAATTCAGGTCTTTACGTTTGATAATTTAGAAAGTTATGGTGAGGCTTACGAAAATCCTGTCGAAACATGTCCACCATGTTGATCTCGATGCTGTCGAGTTAAATCGTCGCCTATCAGAGTTGTCTACGTCAGAGCGCCATTCTCATCGAAGGCAGCCTTCTAAAAACAGATCCCGCCATTTGTCTTTGCGCGAATCACGTCATAAACATTCAGGTAGTAATTCTTCTCGTGAAGAGGTTATGGCTGCCTTAGGGTCCGATTTTCCTATTTTCGGAAAATCAGGAAGCGATGGTAACGTTAAATCTAGTCGACGTACACTCAGCATCCATCAAGACATGGGAATATTAGATCAGAGGTCGCCAGGAAATCAAGCCCTATTGAATGTTGCGGTCAGTGGGACTGCTTCATCGACACACTCTGGAAGCATTGCGTCGGATGAGGATGATGATGATAATGAGAATTATTTTGATGCTCACAGTGATCTCACTCTAGATGATCCAGCCGAGGTTAAAGTAAGAAGTATCTTAATTAGGAATTTATGTGAGTTTATGCTTGATTTGAAGATCACTTCGTGAACACTTACGTCAATTGATAACGTAATAGTCCAATCGAAATTCATCGGCGTTCTTCTCCCAGTCCAACTTTAGCGGTGAAAGGTTATCAATATCCTTGGCAAATTTTCGATGTCAAGAGTTTATACACTTGGAAATATTACCGTGGAGTGGTGAAACTGCGCTATCGGTTTGGAAAAATATGTTGTGTGCTTTAGGAAATTTAAATAGCATACAGGTATCGTTGTGAGAATGGATAAAATGTGGTTGATAGCAGATAAAATTTTTTTTTATGCCAAGTATTTTTATTAATTATTTAGACACCATCAAATCATGCGGAAGCAATAAAATGCTTAGTGGAGATAATGGACATGTTGGCGTTGGTAAACTGAGATAACACTTTGATATTATTATATTATGATCCAAATTTTCAAAGGTAATGATTTTCAATCCTCACAACAAATAGGCTCACAATAATCAAATGGGATTCGCCCCTTCGTCTTTACACTATGAGTTTGCGCCATGGTTCTTTGAAGCCTGTGAATTACCTTTGTAAGTGAAATTTTTAGATGTGCATATATTTTACCTGTTTTTCATTCACTCATCATTTTATGCATGGAAAATTCAGAGCATTTGCCTCTGGACGGGCATTAGCTTATGCTGGTCTTTGTAAAATGATGTCTCGTCGACCAGACCAGGATTTTGATGAAGCTTACTATCCGCACTTTTACCGTGCGTTGCTTAAAGGATTGTCTGATCCCGACGTGTCGATAACCTTGGCGATCATAAATAATTCCACAAAACTATTCTCACAGTGTTTGCCAGGAAGCAATATTTTGTATAGGAGCTTCATCGAGACCATTAGAAATCAATTGTTAAAGAACAACACGAATTTATCGGAAATCACAAGGCAAAACGCAATCACAATACTGTGCTCCTTGATATGCATAGTGAATCAAACGCCATCGGAAAAGGTTCCAATCATACCGTATAAAAAGTTGACGAAACTCTGTGAAGCAGATTTCAGTGAAGCAGAATTGGGCGATTTGGATTACATGAGGTTTTCCGAGGTATTCTTCCGATGTTTGTTTTGTGAACATTCAAGGGAATTTCATCCTAATCGTTTATCATCTTTGTTAGGTGAGATCGGTACTGAAAGACACCTTGATAAAATCTCTTGCAACCGAGGAATCGATACGCAATTATGAAACGCATGAAATGCTGCTTTACGGAATTTGCACTCACGCATTAGACGAACTGACGGCGACAGAATGGTAATTTATCATTGTTGTTCATTACACATTAACAATGCTGAGGGAATACGCTAACCATCTCTCCCTATCCTAACTGCAGTCCAGATAAGACAGTAGTAAAAGAATGTTTTCGAGCATTATTGGACCAACTATATTGGAGTCACCTACCAGTGGTTACTACAGCCGCGGATTGCTTGATTGGGTTTGCACAAAACTCAACTCTATGGTGGAACGAAGAAGGGGTTCGTAATTAAATAAATCAATATTATGTAATCAAATAAACTCGACTTATGCTTTTAATTCTTGAAATGGTAGACATATCATATGGTTCTTCAAGATGTTTTTGGTTGTTTGATTGGCGCGTTGAATGAGCACCTCAAAATACAAAAGCTATCACCCAGAAATGGAAGAGGTATTTTAGATCCGAATCCACAGATTGAAACTATTTCGAGTGATGTTAAAAGTAATTCAATCATCTCTTTCATAATAGGGTTTATAATAGCCAAATTATTTTATTGCCTACTCGAATGGTTGATGGCCATTCCGCCAAATCTTTTCACTGACACGGAACTGTGTCAACTTGTATTCGACGTTATCGATCTTACATTTGAAGTAACTGATGTGAGTTTCGATTAATCATTCGAGTGATGATAGTATGTGTGCATATGGTACATTTATTCTCGCGACTTATTTAATTTATGATCAACCCATAGCCCGATTCACCAAGAAAAAATCGAAAGAAGCCTCACCTACCTTCTCTCAGGATTAGGCATAAGCATCGTGGGAAAGATCCTACTGTATTTTTCAGGAAGGCAGAGCGAAAGATTGCCATAAGTTTGAAATCTAACGGAGAACAAAATTTCCATGTTGTTGGTGTCGAGAATAATGTGGAGGACGTAAATTTTGTCAAGGTAATGTTGCATTCCTCAGTTTCATGATTTATTGAAAAATTTTTTCACCATCGAGATTCATTGTTCTCCGATGTAATAGGATGTTGCGGAGTACATACTGTTACATATAACGCATCACTTTGACAATTTTGCGCCTCCTCAGGGCCCAGCTATGATGAATAGGTAAATATATATAGATCAAATGAGATAAACCTATAAACACGTGGCCTAAGTATTATATAAATAATTGTTTTTTCTTAAAACATGATAACAGTACATTGGTTGGTCCACTAGGAATTGATCTTAAGGAAGATGAGACATCAGATCAGTATCATTATTTCTCGTATAACGACACCACAATAATAACATTGGTGGAAATTCCGGGTAAAGAAAATTCAAGTACGTTAATAATCTGCTGATGGTGTCATTTTTCGTATTAGTATTGAACACGATGATTTTTTGAATTTTAGTTTCACGCATGATAATTCGAGATTATACTGGTCGATACGCATGGGATTCTAGCCTATTTTACCGGGCATCTTTCGACGCTGAAAATTCCGAAAAAGGAAAAAATGGCAAGCGAGTTAAGGCAGCTGACAAAATTACCTTGAGAAGTGGTATTAAAATGGACCGTGGTTGTTTGGATTTGAAATCGTAAGTCGTTATTTTATTTCATTTTTTTTTTTTTTTCAATCAATATCTCTATCTTAATCTTTTGCAACAATAGTGATTTAATAATTAGCCCCCATAAGATCGAGGAATCTTTAAAAGAGGAACATCAAGCTCCACAATGGACGCGAGATACAGATATTGAACGTGTGAACATGTTGAACGAATTGATCCAATAGTGAGCAATAATAGATTTTATCATTCTGTGATGTTTTCCATGGAAAAACTGGATCTAACAATGATAATAATAACAATTTTTTCCAGCATCGACCACCAAACATCCGATTTTCAAAAAATTCAAATGCCCTTGTATTCTCCGAGAACCATGAGTGATATGAAATCTAATGTTGCCCGGATTGAGGAGCAGCTTAACAGACACATACAAGAGGAAACGCTTTATGGAAACTCTGCTGGTGCTCAATCGTAAGTAAATAAGTAAATAAAATAAATAGATAAATGTATGCTAAGCCAGATAACTTTTACTTATGAACAAGTTGAACATATTTGTCATCAATAATCTTCACCAGGCAATTGTGGTATGATGACGCAATAGCACTGCGAAATAACATTTTTCAAGAAAGTGAATACAAGGTGATCAAACGACGTTCTTGTAATCCTCTTTACTGCCGGACCACGTCACATTTATCTCTTGGAGCCGATTTTTCGTTGTCCAAGTCGTTTCTGCCGGTTTTACCTCCAGAGGCTGAGATGCCTACCGAGCCATATCAGCAATGTCGATTGTTTCTAAGTCATTTTGGATGGCTCAACCCTGATACTCTAAAAGAAGGAACAATTTGTTTGCTCAATAAGACGGCCGGACTATTTCGCGATATAAGATTGTTGGACAAAAAGCATGCGAGAGAAGCGATTAAAGTTGCACTTTTATATGTTGGTCCAGGACAAGAAGACGAACAAAGCATATTGCATAACACAAACGGTAGTCGGATGTATGATGAATTTGTGGAAAGTCTTGGGTGGGAGATTGATTTGGCTAGTCATCCTGGATACCTCGGAGGATTAGAGAGAAATTCAACGAATGGGTTGACATCAGTATATTATTGCACATCAACCCTTGAAATAATATTTCATGATGTTACCAAGATGCCAACCGATCCAACCGACCCCAAGCAACTAAAAAAGGTAGTCACATAAAGTTTTGCCTTCATTCATTCATTCTTTCATTCTTTCTTTTCACAACTCTAACATGAACGCATGGTTTGATAAGAAACGTCATATAGGAAACGATCACGTTCACATAATATTCAACGAAAACCATCGAGATTATCGTAAAACCACGATAGGTGGTGACTTTGGTAATGCTCAAATAGTGGTAACACCATTTTCCAACGGGCTATTTAGCGTTGATATCTATCGAGACTCAAAGACACCGCCATTTGGACCACTTTTACATGGTGCCGTGGTCAGCAAAAATGTGTTAGGACCTTTGGTGCGAATGACAGCAGTACAAGCGTTTAGAAATAGTCTGCACAATATAAATAGCACGAATATAACGATGTATCAACATCCATATATGGAACGGGCGTTGGACATTAGCACGATAACGGGTAAACACAAGAATACAAAGTGTAATAGTACGTACGAGGCGTTCATGTCAAAAATTTTTGTATCCGACGATTGTTAAACGAAAAAAAAAAAAATTTAAGGTTTTTTTCGACTTTTTTGGAACGTTTTGGATAAGGACTTTGAGTAGTTTTTAGAATTTAGTAGAAAAAAAAAATTATTATTAAATAATCTGCTTGCTTTTTTTATTTGCACTCCATTCAAAAATTACATTAACATCCGCTAACACCATTGCACATATACCCAATAATAGCGACGCGCATTACCTTAATTTCTTTGTAAACTTTCCATTATATGTAAAACTTTTGAACTCACGTTTTCACTTGTCTATACATATAGTACAAACACGCTTAATAAATCTTCCACCCTACAATTCTCGAAATGTCTTCACCTTTCCCTGTTTCGTCTCGAAAACGTGACTCAGGTTCATACTTATTTACATTTGTAAATTACCTTTTTTGTATTTTGAAAATATATATATATATATATACAGTATATAACTTTTTTTTAATGAATAAGAATTTATTTATGTTCATAACTCGTGTGCTAGAATTCACTTTCGAAATGACTTTCAAAATTCTCAACTGCGGGACGAGTATTTACCAATTTAGTTTTGGATATTTTTTAAATTAAACTTTGTGGAACAGGCTTATCGTTAGATGCTATGGAATTGCTATATGATGATTTGATAGTTTATGAGAATAGCAGCTTTAAGAATTACTTGGTTGGAAATTACAACAAAATGGATTGGAGACTAATATTAGTGTTTATCTCACATACACTTTAATAAACTGAATGTCTTTTTAGTCAGGTTAATTATGAAATGTTTGGATGCTCTACCGGATTATTGACCTAACGCCCTAATATTAGAATGGGAAAAATGAAACCTTATTTTATTAGTTAATTGTATTTCGATGCCATTGGATATTATACACATCTCACTTATTTTATTCGCATCATATAATTAGGGCTTACCTTTTAACAAAGCCAACCTACTGTATATACTGTAGCTGGCAAAATATAAATATATATTTAAAAAAGAAAATGCACAATTTCTGTTTCGCGTTAATTTACTACCTTTCATTAACACAAAAGAAAAGAAATTCCATTTAACATCAATTTAACACTGTACTGCGATTTCTTTATATACTTGATTCATTTAACGCCATTTAAAAAGTTATCATTCTATTCTGAACTGGAGATAAAATTTTGACAATAGTAGTAATACGAAATTTCCGAATTATGTAACGAATTTCGCGAATTCGCGAGAAATTTTTAATTAAATCTCGCGGAACATTGCTCTAATATAATTTAGGTTAATTTTTTGCATAATAAAAATATAGATTAACAATTAATTATTGTTATAAATTGGATAAAATTTATTAAATAAAAATATTTTAATAAAGAATTATTACATATTAAAAAATTTTTTCATTAAATAATAACAATAACAAATAAATAATAAATAGTGAAAATAATAATACATAATATTTATTTTTATTTTCTTTTAAATAAAATTAGTAAGATATAAATTTCCTTTTCTTTTGTTAGAGGTATATAATATTTTTATTGTTTTTTTTTTATTTGTATTTTCCAAAAAATCAATAAAAAGTCTTCTAAAATTTGATAATAATAAATCTTTATTTATCAATAAGTTAAAATCATTAATAGTTGTTATTAATTTAATATCAAACTTATTTTTATTTAAATTAATATTCTCAAATATTTCATTATTATTAATTTCTTTAATATTAATAATGGTATTATCAATATTATCAGTTTTATTATTTTTATAATTTTATTTTTTTTAATAATTAATTGAGAATTAAAAAAATTTGATAATTTTTCAATTGATATTTTATAATAATAAAAATAATAATTAGAATTAGAATTTAATATATTAATAAAATATTTAAAATAATATATTGTATATTGTTATTCTTAATAATGAGTCTGTTACTACTCTGGACCAAGACTTATATTATATTGGGAGAAGGGTTTCTATCACTGGTGATATCAAAGATACATGTGGCAATAATTATCTAACTTTCTCCTTTTTTTTTTAAGTCAGTCTTTTCCTAATTCTTCTATCTAGCTATGGGGCTTGTGAATTTTTTCTAGATTGACAAAAGAGCAAAACAATATAAGTTTATTAATTATTGTTGTACAATTACTTGGATTTTACAAATGAATATATTTTTTTTTAATTTATTATCTATTATTATTTTCTATATTGGGCTATATTTGATATTTAAATAACTGTGACATACCTTTCTAATCTATTATCATGTTATACAAATCTAACAAACTTTTCCAAACTCTATATCCATCAATTATGTATGGGTGATACATAATTGATGTCTCGTGATACATGATTAATGCCTCGTAATTAAAGATAGGTCCCTAAATTAAAGGCAAGGACATAATTCAAATGTCCCTCACTATTAAAAAAGTTTTTTTTTAAATATAAGGTTTAAAAAAAACTATCTACAAAGGTTTTTTGCAATTTAGGCCACTTGATCCAAGTGTTTTTTGAATTATGTCCTTATTAAAGTAATGAATAAATAATTATGTCCCTTCAAAAGAGACATAATTGATCTGCGAAATTTTATATGCTAAATAGTTTAGGAACCCATCCTTACTCGTAATACATGATTAATGCCTCGTAATGTATGATTAATGCTCTGTGATGCAGGATTGATGTCTTGTGATGCAGGATTGATGTCTTGTAATGCACTGCACTGGGCCTTACATGTCATGTTTCTTTTTTCTATTATTAATTTTTTGATAACAATATATATATACAATATATTAAAACTTTTATATTTGAATTTATATCATTATAAAAGTATAAATTATAAAGTTTTTCATTACTTGAAATATGTTTTTAATATAGTATATTAATAAAATGATTCTTTTAACAAAATTTTTTTCAATTAAATATAAACTTTTGTTTGTTTACTATTTTTTTTAATTTAAAATTTATTTTATTTTTTTATAAAAATTTTAAAAAATTTTTTAACAAATATTTGTTAAAGTAAATAATAAATTTAATTGATATTTAAAAAATAAATATTTTTTAATTTTTATAAAATTTTCAATAAATTTATTTTCATATTTTTTTATAATCTATAAATTATTTAAGAGTTTTGGATTTATTAATTTTAAAGTAATATTTTTTTCAAAATATTTATCAATAAATTAAAATATTTAAAAAATATATTTATTATTGGATATTTTTGTTTATTTCATTGAAAAATATTTGATTAAAAAAATATTATTATTTACAATAATATTCAAAATAACTATATTTAAATAATTTTATATAAATATTTAAAATTAAAAATATTATATTGTATAAAAATTTAAAATTAAACAAAATTTTTTATTTTTAATATTTTCAAAAACTTTAAAAACTTGAGTTTTAATTTTAATCCATTTATATAAATAATATAAAACAATAAATTTATTTGTTATAATTTAGATTTTTTTAACAAATTTTGTTTTTATTAAAAATATATTTATATAATTCATTAAAAAAAAAAATAAAATTTAATTATTATTATTTTTTTAACTTGACTAGCTGAAGCATGTCTAATATTTTTTATTTAATTCATGTATATATATTATATATTATAAAAAGTTATTATTTATAAATTATTCTAGATATTGTTAAACTATATCAGATTTATTTTTTATATTGGCTTGTTACTATTGACTATTGATTTAAAAATCTATTTGTATCAAAGCTGATATACTATAGTACTATTGATATTATTATTATATATTAAATTTTATTTCTAACTGAAAATGTATTAAGGAGAATTTGAAAGAGGAAATCAAGACTAGTATTTATTAAACAAATAAAACTTTGCAAAAAAATTCTTTTAAATTTAATCATTTGCAAATGAATATACTATTTAATTTTTATCTTTTTGAAACTAACCAAGAATATTCAAAGAACTTATCTCATGGATCTATTGCCTATAGATTGTTTTAGTTATTAGTACTTATTGTTGTTTTTGCTATCTTTATGAAATAAGTAATTGTTAAAGCAATCTACAGTATATTGTTATTACATATAATAAACAATATATTATTTATAAAAATATTATTTATAAAATATTTAATTGCTAATTATTTTTTTTTGTATTTAACAAGTTTTATTGTTATAATTTATATTAAAAAAATTTTTTATTTGATTATTATTATTATTTTATAATTTTTTTTTATAATTTAGGACTATTCATATATAAGAAATATAATCCATAATAATTAATAAAATCTATATATACAGTATAGTTGCATTATTAAAAAAATTTTATTTATAGTATCAAATTTATAAAAATTAAATAAATTATTAATAAATCATTTATAATTTTATAATATAAAATTTTTATTTTAATTATGTTAAAGCAAAAATAGTTTTATAAGATTTATTTTAAAAAAATTTTTTTTTAAATAGATAAATATTATTACTTTATTTATTTATTTATTTTTTATATCCTTAATTAGGTTGATGTTATTTATTTATTAAATCAAAATAAATTATTACAAATAAAAGTTGTATATATAAATTTTCTCAACCTAACTTATTCATTTGTGACATAAAGTCTTTAAATACAATTTATTATATTATAAAAATTTTAAAATATTTTATATAAAAAAAGTGATAATATTTCTCATATAATTAATTATTAATAAATTTAATATTAGCTTATCTATAGAAACTATTTAAATAATAAAGAAAAATAAATATTAAAACCAATATATTTAAAAATAATATTAAGTAGCTATAAATATCTACTTAAAATTATATAGATAAGATTTAAAAAATAAAAAACTAAAAAAAAAAAAACTAAATAAAAAGAGAGTAACAAAAAAACTAAATAATATCTAATATTTTTTTTTTTTTTGAACGGATGGCTTACACCTTATTTATTAGACATTTTATGATGAGTATGTACAAATTTATTTTATACAAATTTATCACTCTATCTACCTAACTAAACTCACTAAGGGATTTCTCTACCGTGCAGCTTATTGCCAAGTACTGGTATA